TCTTGTGCCTCTTTGCGCTCTGTCTTGGCTAGACAGGTATCAGAAGAGGGATGCTACCAGCGATATGTTATTGATCGATACGTCCCCCTCGCCTGTCTTCGGAATAACACCACTGTTCTCCTCCCACGCTCTCCCTCCTCTCTCGGAAAGAGCGGCCGCGCGCGGCACTCCCGCCCGGGCACGTGCGGCTCGTTTCACGCGCCGCGCGGCCGCCGGTCGTCCGGTGACGCGGTGCGCTCCGCCGGCACCGGCACGTCGTCACATGACTGATGACGGCGCCGTCTCGGCCGGCACTCTGGTCGGCTCCGAGCGGCTCGATAAGGCCCGACTCGGCCGGTGCGTCCCCCGGGGCCGGCCGCCTTCGTCTTCACGGATGGTAAACAGCACCCCGCGTCGCCGCCGACGACGGTAGCGCCGGTAGCGACGGCGCCGCTCGCGTGTGCCTCTAATAACGACGACGTGAGCGGGGCTTCCCGATACTGTAGGTGATTGCGGAGTCGAGGCGACGCGCGACGACGACGGTGGTTGGGGTAACGAGAAGCGACCGACAAGACGGTGGCGGAGTGACTTAGTTGGCGGAACCCCTCTTTGTTGTGCTCCTCAGATAACAAACATGGCGGATGTGTCGGAGTACCGCGATAGCTGCCTCAATAATCAGTACGGAGCACCGCGCCAGGCCGCGTGATGTGTGCAGAGAGCGAATGATAATCCTCCTCTCCCCCCTCCCCCTCCTCGCCCTCGCCCCCTCCCTCACCCCCCACCCGAAGCGCGAGCGGCTCGATCGCAACCGAAATCCCACGACGATGACGGCAGCCCACAGGGCGTGCCGGCTGTCAGTGGCATTTCTCATCATTTGTTCAACGGAGAGAGATGGCCGATGTCCGACGTTCCGACGAATTTAATCTGGCCAGAAATAGTACAGCCTGCCCCCGGCTGAGCCATTCCAAGCGGGGCTGCGCATTTGGACGAAGGTGTCCCTCGCTGATCCATTCCATACACCCATGGAGGCCAGGGATGGGGGAGGTCTTCTTCCGGTTACCGTGGCGGATGTCCCCCACTTCCGGTAACAATGGCGGATATTTTTTACACTCCTTTGAGAGAAAAGGGCAATTGACTCTCCAATTCATGTTGGATACACCATTGATGCCTAGACTAGAAGTGAAAAAGTACTTGACAGAATGACCCTTCCATGTTGCCTGCTGGCTCCGCCACTGACACCAGAGCCTCTTAGTGGCGCCGCTCACAAGGTCAAAGTCTGCACGGGAACAGATCACGAGTCACCGCCCCTGGGCGGCGCGCCAGCCTCACCCAGATACCGCCGGGGCGGGGAGAGGCGCCCAGTGACGGCCCGAGCAGTGAGGGGTCTCTGTGTGCCAGAGAGGAAGTGGACAGAGTGAGAGACCGGTGCGCTGTGTCTGCAGTGGAGTGCCTGACTGGTCAGAAGATTGACACGGACTGTCAGGGAGACCCGGCGCTGTTAGTGACCATGGACGGCGCATCCGACGGGCCCGGGTCGGTCGAGACGAGTGGCGCCGCCCGCTCCGACCCGCGCCACGGCCCCGATAACAGTGCACCACACCGCGCCGACTCCAAGCCTGACGTCACCCAGCCGGCCGGCCGCGCCACCTCGCGGCTCAGCTGGCGTGACGTCATCGTCATCGCCAACGTCGTCACGGGCAACCTGCTGTTCAGCAGCGTGGCCTCTATGATCGTGCCGTTCTTCCCCACCGAGGCCGAGCGGCGGGACGTGCCCCAGACCTGGGTGGGCGCCGTGTTCTCGGCACACGCCGTAACCATGCTGGTGACGGCTCCGCTGGCCGGCCGAGCTGTCCCAGCGCTCGGCGTGGCGCGCGTGTTTCAGCTCGGACTGGCACTGACCGGCGTGGCTACTGTAGGGTTCGGCCTGGTTGACCGGATCGGCTCTCAGACGGGGTTTATTGCAGCGAGCACGGCGGCACGCGTAGCGGAGGCGCTCGGCACGGCAGCCGCGTACACAGCCGGCTGTACCATCATCGCCAACCAGTTCCCGCAGCGGGTGCACTTTTTGTTCGGACTCGGGGAGACCATGGTGGGCGTGGGGATGGCGGCCGGTCCGGCGCTGGGGGGCCTCCTGTACGCCGCCGGCGGCTACAGCACGCCGTTCTACGCGCTGGGCGGCGTCACGGTGGCTGCTGCTGTGCTGAGCTGGTGCTCGCTGCCAGCGCTAAGCGGCGCCCCCCATCAGCCAGCCGGCGGCGCCCAGCTGCTGCGCCTGCTGCGCTGTCCCGAGGCGGCTCTGAACGTGGCCACCGTCATCACCGTGTCTGCCGGCTACACGGCGCTGCGTCCCGGCCTGGCGCCGTTCGCCGCCGCCCGGCTCGGCGTCTCGGCCGAGCAGCTGAGTCTCTACTTCCTCCTAGCCGGCGGCATGTACACTCTAACCGGGCCTCTGGTCGGGAAGCTGTGTGACCGTCTGAGAAGCACCTACCCCCTGATGGCGGTGGCCCTGGCGCTGGCGGCCGTCGGCCTGGCGCTGTTCTGTCCGCCGGGTCTGTCGCCCAGCCGGCCGCTGCTCGTCACCGGTATGACGGTCCGAGAGCTGTTCCTCGGCGGCGCGCTCATCCCGACGTTTGGCAACCTCCTTCACGCAGCGCTGGCCGCCGGCCTGGCCGACACCGTGGCCACACAGGCGCTAGTGTCTGCCGTCTGGGCGGCATCGTTCTCCGTGGGCAGTGTCCTCGGCCCGCTGGCCGGTGGCCTGCTCACGGACGCCGCCGGCTTCTCAGCGGCAGTGGACGTGTTCAGCGCTCTGGTGCTGCTGATGGCACTGCCGGCGCTGGCGATGGCCTGCGCACAGGGCCGGCGGGCCATCAGTCTGAAGGAGACACCGGCAGACACTGAGGGGGAGAGGTCTGCAGTGGACGAGAGTGCAGAGCTGACAGATCGCACGCCGCTGGTGTAGTTACTGCATCGGTAACCTTCGTGGGAAAATATCAATGAGCCCTTCGTAGTGGCTGCTCTCATAATGTCTGAGTCATTGTAGCGCTTTCTGCATCTCCTGTTCTGTTGTCTGGCTGCGCCCGTAGACTGGCATACCTTGCCCTATATTCTCTGACCTGCAGCCCTCGGAATGGATCCCAGTGGGTTAAATCACGACTGGATGCTAATACATATAACTCATCTCTCGTCGTCTTGGCTGGCGGAGGCTGTCATTTTGTTCACTGTACACGGCTGAAGTGAACGCTTTTTCGATCTGTCGCGATTTCTTTGCAGGTTTTAATTGACATAAAACAAAACATTTGAATGGTAGTCCTTTGGACATAGGCTGCATATGCAAAAAAAAAACACCTCTAAGAGCAAGTGTTTGTTTTATTTGTCTAAACAAACATAACCAGTACCCACCTGCGTAGGGCCGATCAAACGCACCGTTTCCTGAACCTGCTTTCTTTCCACAGCGCCTGACAGTTGCGCTTGATACGAGCCTTCTTTCTGTTTTGTTAGTCTTTGTAGTTCTGGCATAGGTATGTGTTTGGGTCTACCAGCCTGTACCGTGCTGGATGGTTCCAGCCTCGTTTCTTTAGTCCGGCCAGTTCGAAACAACGTGTGGTAGGTATAGGTATATCATGATGGATGTGTTGTTAATGAAATAATGAATTGCCGTATAACGATATCGTGCAATAATAAAGTATCGTAGATAAATTTTCCGGTCAGGGACACGATACTTCCCGCCTGTCGCTGACAAAGCGCGTCTGACATCCGCCCTGCCGCCACCGACGCGGGCGGCCCGCTGCAATCAATACGCGGCCACCAAATCGGAAAACAGTCTGGGAGTCGACCGGTGTGTGGCCGGCGTGTGACCGTGATCTCTCCCCTCCCTCCCCTCCCCCCTGCCCTCCCGCTGACCGGTCCCGGCTCTGTAAACAAGTCCTCGGTCACGCCACAACCCGATCGCTGAGCGAGCGTGTATGTTTGTGTGTGTGGGGGGGGGGATGGAGGGAGTATGGCTGACGCCATCCATACTGGGTGAGGCAGTGTGGTTGTTATGGAGACTCTCCTGTCACCAAGGTCAGAGTCAAAGCACCGCGGAACACGACTTGTATAACTTATAAATGTTTTGTTTAGTGTAACTGCGCCTAACAGCAGCTTCAGAATTATCGAATTATTTTGAGCGATATAACGAATAAAGCAAAGCTTTCCCAATTATAAACGCATTACCTGCCTCTATGCCCGGCGACGACCAGAAGTGGTTGATCCTGACTTCTGCTCCCAGTATTAGACACCGCTCTATGTAGGAAGCTATGTCCACTCCCACCACCCGGCGTCTGCCTCTGCCGATTGGTGGCGGCGGCCCATTGCGGCTAATTGTTTGCCCGCTAAATGACACGTAGTGGCGGTATGGAGCTAATCGGTGTGGCAGTGACAGCGGCCAGACGGGCAGCCATCCGTGACGCCGGTGACAGGAGCCACAGCCGGCGACCTGACCTGGCTGGTGACACAGCACCTTGGATTGTCAACTGTTACGGTCACTGCCACTGTCACTGATTTGCATGTCCGCAGCTAAGCAGGGTTCTCAAACTATACCCACATAATTTCCGGTTCGTATCTTTCGATCAGTGAGATAATTTTCGCTTAGCTCAGGTGAGTATCGAAGTTTTCCCGATTCGGCATCGAAAGTCTGTTAAAAAATGCTGCATCTCACCATTGCTAATGACATGTGTTTCTAGAGGCTAGGTAGGATCTATGCTGGCAATGCAGCTCTACTTGTGCCATGTGTGTGTGCTCACTGCGAGAAACTCACGTCTTACAGTCGCTGTCTGTGACATCGAAAGATAGGAGATTCCGACCTCTCACTGTGATATCGCTCCTTGCTCCCACCGAGATGAGGAAGCTCACATTTCACTCTTCTTACCCCCACAGGGTAAAAAGTTTTCCTTCAATGACTTACTGTGTCTTCAACCCTCGTTCCCCACAGGGTGAAAACAAAGAAGCCCACCTCTCACTGTCACTCCTCCCTCCCACAGGGTGAAAAGTACGACGGCCGGCGGGCGGACGTGTGGTCGTGCGGCGTCATCCTCTACGCGCTGCTGGTCGGAGCGCTGCCCTTTGACGACGACAACCTGCGGCAATTGCTGGAGAAGGTGAAGCGCGGCACGTTCCACATCCCGCACTTTGTGCCGCCCGACTGTCAGAACCTGCTGCGGGGGATGATCGACGTCAACCCCGAGACCCGGCTGAAGGTGAGTGACAAGCCATGGTCGCCACGCTGTTTGTGGAAGGCTTGTGATGTCAATAGTTACATGCATACATAGTACATACATACATATTACATACATTCATGCACGCGACCAAGGTTCACGAGCCGGTGACGGTATCCTGTCGTATATGTAGGTTTTACTGGTCACCTGCCATCATAGTGAGTCGTAGATTATCTGTCGTAGGTCGACGGCCACCTACATTAGGTTGAAGATCATCTTTCGTAGGTCGTATAGGAAGGCAGTCCGGAACTTGGTAGTCTTCAAGGTAGCGAGAGCGACAGTTAAGAAGTAGTTTGTATTGTAATCATATAGCAACAAATGAACACATCAACAACTAATAAGCCATGCGCTGGACAGTTAGATGCTGGACAGTGCACATGGTTAGAACTTTAACCCTCGCCCGCACATGGGGGGGGGGGGGGGTGGTTGCCACCCCCCCCCCCCAGGTAGTCTTTCTGCTCTGCACTCAACATTGTTAGAGCTAGAAGGCTGATTTTTCGTATAACTGCTCCTCTATCCTTTATTGATGTCCACTGAAAATTTCAAGTTTCTGTGGTTTTTGGTTTCGGAGATATGACCTTGTTTTTCAGGTCATGTCATGACCCAAATGGCCAATTTTCAACATCTTGCGTTGGCTATGGGCCTTGTGAGCTTCTGACACCTTGATTTCGGCCTTTTTTGCCAGTCTTACCTCCCACCTATCATGGAACATGTTGTTCGACGATGTACAGATGTCAAGGTCAAGGTCAAGGTCAACCTAGGTCATCTAAGATAATTGCGTTTTAGGCAAGCAGAATTTACTTTTTTGTGAATTTTTTTGACTGCATTTTTGGTAAAAGCTTCTCTCTCAGATCATGATTTCATGTAATATGGACACATAAACAATCGGTGCACACATCAGTATACACACAGACACACACAGACATACAAACACATATAATTGGCCTTGACCTAACTTGACCTGAAATGACCTCAGCAGCAAAAATCTGGTCGGGTAGTGTGACAAAGAGGCTCTAGCTGGCTTGGCACCAGAAAAAGGCATCGTCATCGGTATATGATAAGCAGCGCACTTGATATCCAGCGGTGACCCAAAACAGCAACATTTTTTAGTTTGACCTGACCTGGAAGGTCAATGACTGACCTGAGAAGGTAAAACTGGGTATCATTAGATTCGTCTCTTCCCAAAGAATCTTTTTGGTCTTTACCGCTAAGCTCTATCTCCAACAGGAACGAAATGGCGCGGGGGGGGGGGGTGGCAACCCCCCCCCCCATGTGCGTTCTAGGATGGGAAAATGGCATGTGCGGGCGAGGGTTAAAGAAATAAGAGTATCCTGACAATCGAGACGTAATTATACGAGTAAGTTGGCACAAGATATAACTCACATAAATAGCTGAAGATCAAAGCCTCGAAGATGAAAGCGAAGTGATCGCGTAGTAACTATTCGAAAGGTAATCGAGTTTTCAATGAAAGGTCGGACAAATTTTCGATTAGGTCCCGAAGATGGGACTGCTTTTATTGGTTTATATAAACTACGAGGCCATTATGTAAACGCTCTCATTATTTGAACATAAGAATGCTGAAATGATAGCACTGGGACTTTCGTGTTTTGCACGAAGCCTGTTGTCTTTCGTCATAATATACTCTGAAGATTTATAAACCTAAGCTAGAGTATGTGAGATATAACAGCGCCGCTGAATATTTTTTCTGGATGTGTTAGGATCCTTGTCCAGTACCCATGCAAAAACATGATTGTGTCTGGCGGGCGGCTATGGTTATATGTAGTGCAGCAGTTGAGATACTGTGACGGCGAGCCCGGACAGGATACACTGATATGGGTTGTATTGCTTGCGAATACTTGACTTGCTGTTCCATAAAAGTTCAATTATTTTATGAAGCCTTAGATGACTTCATGATTATATTGCTATGAATATTTAAGTGCATTTCTTGAAATCGTAAGGAGGAACTTGGTAATCAGAGTCAGTAAAACAAATAATTTCGTGTCTCATTTCTTGGAGTAAATGCTTATTACGAGCAACTGATCATAAAACGTTTGAGTTTTCAACTCATCTATTTTCGCTTTCTAAAGCCTTTGGCGGAGTTTTCAGCGCTAACCTGACCTGACTCGGCATCCCGAAAACAAACATTAGCTGCGATCTTCAGCGAGTTTTTCCTCCGCGAGTCAGCTCTGAAGGCTGCGCGCCGCTGCAGTAATGGATTTAGCCTGGTTGGGCCGCCGCTGGCCGGCCAGAATCAATGCCACTGGGGGAAGCGGGGACCCGCCGGAGACCAGGCGTCACATCAATTAGTGGGCGGCGGTCGGCGCGCCACCGATTCAGTGCCGCATTAAACTGAATGAGCTCATTACTGGCGTGCGACGGCGAAGAGGCGTACGCGTCTGACTGGGCGGCCGGCCGGGCGGCGCTTGTCCGATTTCCGCCCTGTCGCGCTGCCCGTCTGAGCTGGTATTACAGCCGTCGTGGGACCGGAAGCCGTGGCTCTGCTCCGCTCAGTCGCTCAGCGGCTCAGCGGAGACAAAGTCGCCGCTGTAGGCTCTGTGCGGAACTGGTCCCTCGTGGGGCGTAATGCTTTCCTCAGTGACCGATGCTGAGAATCAAGTTCCAGGAAGCGTTTAATGCCCACAGCGATCACTGCGAACTCAAATCTGACTAGCTAGCTAAACCAACTGTGCCCTCGGGATCTGTATTCCCCGAAGTGCGACCGCGGACGTCCGCTGACTGACCGCGGTAATTGCTACATAGCTGGTCTATGTAGGGGAGAGTGGGGCAAAGCGGCCACCCTAACGTTTCTAACGATGCCGACGCTTGATTTTTAAACTTGGAAAGATTCTTTCTATACCAATGTGATCCCTATTAAATTGTCTTTTATTCCAACTGCGTTTCATTTCCAAAGGCGTTCACATATGGGAGATATTGACAAAACTTTAAACCTATAGCATATTGGCCACTTTGCCCCATCCCTGAGGCAAAGCGGCCACTGGCGACTTCTCAAGTCCCGATGTGAGAAACAGAATAGTTGCCTCATGCACGACTAGGGTATTTGATGGTGACAAGGTTTAAGGGAAGATGGATGTTTACTTTGTTATCCTCCCACCTATTGCTAACAAAGAAATAATTTTCTTGGAAAAACATTTAATTGCATAATTTGGTAACTCATGTAACCGAAAAGTGGCCAAGATGAATGCATGACGACACATTTGAATATAAATAATGTTTTTATCCAGATGGAAACAACTTATGGCCAATTGGGGGCTGGCCACTTTGCCCCGGCCGCTTTGCCCCGCGCATACCGTCCGAGACAAAAATATTCCAGCTCAGCTATTAGTGGGGTAAAAAGCATTAAAATTGGTAGAAGGCATGTACGATAACCACGCAATGCATGGACAAAAACGCTTATAAAAATTCCAAATGGTTATGGAATAAAATAACATTTAAAAATTGTAAACATAATTGGTAACCTGGCAAGAAATGCTTTTCCGTGTTTCACAGAACAATGGCGATGGGCCTGAAACCCCGGTCTGGCTCATTCGAACGACCGCAAAGAGAAGTATAATTGGAAATCATAAATTGGAACTGACGCCAGCTGTGGAGGGCTAAAACGATGGATGGCCGCTTTGCCCCGGGTGGCCGCTTTGCCCCACTCTCCCCTACTTCGGTTACATGAGTGGAATAATACTCAGAGTTGTGGTCAATGGCAGCTCGGGCGCAGATGATAGGTGCCAATTTCGGCTCATGTGGTGTGTTACCACGCCATGTAGATTAAAAACGTCAACGGGCGCGGCGACGTTTTGAAGTTGAAGTAGTAACTCATGCGCCCTTAGCTGTCACTGGTGCCCCGTGCCAGTATGCTGATTTCGTCACAATGCAATAATTAAATGCTGGTGTTAAAAGATCATGTAATTTGTTGCACAACTCTCCATGCCCAGCGGTTTGTGTAAGCAGGAAGTGAGCAGATGAACACGAAGCTAAATTTTCGTTCAATTTCACGGCGCACAACTCTCCTACAAATTGGATGGTATTCCGAAAATCCTCGATAGGCCTTCTAAAACGAATTGAAACGAATGACTTCTGTCCCTGGCGGCTGAAGCGTTGTAAATCGACGAAATTTGCGTTGCCTCCCATACAATCGAGACCTAAACTAGGTCATCAATCCAAGATTCAATCCTTTACAGATGAATACTGTTTTTCTTCTTTCTCGTTTGAAAACACTGTTCGAAAACACACAAAGAGCGATCACTGCCATTGCTTCAGAGAGGTGCTGATGTGTTTGACTGCACTCCTATCATTATTTCATTAAGGTGCACTCATAAAATGCCCTTTTGAGATGGCTGAGCTCGATGCTACATTTTTCGATAGACATAAAGGCCGCCAAAGAACCAGTGGCTCCGATTCTCCTTTGATAGTGTTGGTTGAAATGATATGATGATGTGGTAGGTTTACAATCGGTATGTCTACACGTAAGGACAGAATGGTGAGGCTCCTTTTTCGTCGGAATTGGAAAAGTCATGATATAATTACAAATATGGGTGTCTCGTCAAAGACAATAATGGTACAAGGATCCGCCTTTCCTTATTGACCGATGCATATTGACTTATGGAAAGTTAAGTGCCCTATGGATATAACATGTAATTCATAAATCATAAGTCACCGCTTGCTTAAGCTTGATAAAATGGTGTTTGTAAAGCTCTTGCACCAGTAACTGCTATGGTAGGGGAAGCCGGGGGAAGCCCGGCATAGTAAGCTCTTTTTCATTTCTATTACATACCATACGTGCTGTATAAAATGTTGATATCCTGTTAGCTAGCTAAGTTCATTGACCGTGTCTTCCCAAAAAATCGGTTTCGTGGAATAAGTATAAGGTTGAGAAAATCGAGTTTTAAAAAAGTGTTGATTTTTCTGGGGTAAGCCCGGCATAGGGGTAACGCCGGCCACCTCCCCAGCGCTTTACAACGAGTTGATGAAACCATTATGTGTCTTCCAAATATTAACGGAAATTGAAATATTAAGGTACTGATTAGCTCTGGACATCTTAGAGTTTATGTCACTACTGGCATTTTAGCTAGCGTCTACCACATATACAGTACAGGTCGATGAAAATCGTGATGTAAAATTGACAAAAAATGTGTGTTTCAAAATTCCTTAAAATTTATTTTTCTTTTTACCTTAATGCATCATATTGCATATCATTCGACTCGGCTGATGAAGAAGAACACAACGACACCATTTTTGAAGCTCTAGCTTCATTGTCTGTCGCGTTATCTGCAAAAACGTAGTTTGGCCCCAGTTGACCTTAAGCGACATGACTGGCTTTGTCTATGATAACATGTTTATTTTCGAAATTTATCTTTGATCTAGGTGTAAACCAAACCTGCTCAGTACCTATTATCTCATGGAAAACAGTGGTTTAGTGGCATTGCTCTCGGTTGGGGGTAAGCTTGGCTACTCACCCGGGGTTACCCCAATGTGCTAATTTTTATTTTAGAACAGCGATGTTCGTAAAAATGTCATACTTTAGCCAGCCTGCCTCGTCACCCCTCACTACAAACACTTAAACGGTCCTTACATAACATTCGTATAAATATTAGTACTGTATGGTATAACATTAACAGTGCAACATATCTCACTTTTTAGCTAAAACCCCTTAAAATATCATTTTTGCTCTATAATTTAAACAATATGCAATTTTTGTTAGCCTTAACTTTTTTGCTGGCGTTACCTTAGCTGCCACGCTGAAAGGACAAACAGTTGAGCATTTTATTGTGAATAATTCAGCCGGAAACGGGGTGGCCGGGCTTCCCCCGCGCCCGGGCTTCCCCCGGCTTCCCCTATAAGTGGCTGTGAAGCACAGGTCCCGGCCCATCGCGCCCGCTCCACAAATGGGTGTCGTTTCGTCGCGCTCGTCGGCACGGGTCCGAAAGTGTTCGCCGTGGTACTGGTGACAGACGACTTCAGCCGGCTATCGTCGGCGCCCCGCCTCAGTTAGTGTCAGACACAGTGATACCGCCTCCCGTGATGCTGATTGGCGGCGCCCTAAACCAACGACCCGCCGCGATGCGGACGGAACTGACCCACTTCCGGCTAGCAACGGTGTCGATCGAGGTGTCTCGGCGTCCTAGCTGCTCAGGTGCGACGTGATAAGGGAATGTGACCACCTATTTATGAAAGGTGATAATTTTTTTTAGGGATGGCATCAGTCACAGACACTCTGTTGGTGACAATCTTGCTCGAAGCCTGAGTGTGTCTTTTCATTTCAAGCAATTATATGTATGTTACAGTTAGTATGCGAAATCCGTTAGGTTGCAACGTAACTAGTTACGTTGCAAACTAACTGACCGTTCAGTTACTTTGCAAACTAACTAGTTAGGATGCAAACTACCTAGGTACGTTGCAACGGAACTAGTTATGATGCGAAATGGACTGCTCAGTGGCAATAATTGCACATCAATTCCAATGTTCAGTCGCGGGTTGCTAGCACAAAGTTCTGTGATCATCCCAAGGGTTGCGCTCAACGTTTCTATTGGTTTAATCCGCGCCGGGCCGGTGCTTGGCGCCAACTGCACCAGGCCAAGGGTATTTGAAAACCCCCTCTAACTTGGCCCCTGAGCCAGGTAGCGACTCGCGGTGACCGGGTATTTGAAAGAGCGTCAAAGATCATCAAGGAAGCACTCGGTCATTTCTCGGGTTTGTTCAAAGGCTAAATCTGAAAACAATGTTGAAATTGACAAAATTTGACCTTTGATGACATTCGTTGACTCGATTTTCGAACTGACCTCCTGAGAAATGGCCGAGTGCTTCTAGGATGATCTTTGACGCTCTTTCGGATGCCGCTCACCGCGAGTCGCTACCTGGCTCAGGGGGCAAGTTAGAGGGGGTTTTCAAATACTCTTGGCCTGGTGCAGTTGGCGCCAAGCACCGGCCCGGCGCGGATTAAACCAATAGAAACGTTGAGCGCAACCCTTGGGACAATCACAGAACTTTGTGCTAGCAACCCGCGACTGAACATTGGAATTGATGTACAATTATTGCCACTGAGCCGTCCATTTCGCACCATAACCAGTTCCGTTGCAACGTACCTAGGTAGTTTGCATCCTAACTAGTTAGTTTGCAAAGTAACTGAACGGTCAGTTAGTTTGCAACGTAACTAGTTAGGTTGCAAACTACCTGACCGGTCAGGTAGTTTGCAACGTAACTAGTTACGTTGCAACTTAACGGATTTCGCATACTAACTGTAACATGTAGACACAAAAAAACATCGATGCCTTTTTGTACAAAAACATTCAAATCGATGCAAACATGGTATTTTGTGGTTTAAGGGAAAAGAAAAGTGTTCAGGAAGCTCGATTTTTCGTGCCTTTTCACAACGCTTTGTGTCTACAATACGGACAGCTGCCCTATGTTTGGCAATTTGTCCTTTATGGTCGAGCGTGCGAGGAGTGGCACTTCTTTGTGCGATCGAGAGTGGCAGAAAGTCCAGTGGTCGGGAGGGCTATGCTATGGACATTGTTTATAACTTCTTGTGATAGCACTGGCGACATCTGGCTTTGAACACGTCCCAACACATGAGCTGTTCAAATCATACTTCTGTTGTTGACATGAAAAACTTTCATACAAGGTAAGCAGAGTCTTTGGTTAAGATAAATGTTTATAGTTTCCTGACATGGTTGCTTGACTCCAAGGTACATAACATAACATCTTTTGGTTGATGACTTTAAAAAATTCAAAATGTCTAAAATATTCATTGCTCTTTTCTCAGTGATTTTCATGTTAAGAATATTGCATCTTACGTGAGTTTTCGGACGCAGTAAAAGTTTCACGAGGCGGTGTTGATCAGTTGGAGCGGGACTGTTGTTTTGCCTCTCCCTCGCATTGATAGGCATCTGCGAAATCCCAGTTAAGCCTGCTGGCTCAGGAGGCGTCCAGGGGTATTGATCTGATGTCGGCGGCTTTAGCAGCGATGGAAATGACAACGTCAACAAATCGAGCAATTTCGATTCTTTAATCGACGGAGTTTTCGGAAAGGAAACGCATTTTTCGAAGTACTAGGAACAGTTACCAATTAAATGTCATTTACTTTCAGCTGAAAGTGTTTTTATATAAACATGTCTATTTTATTTTATAATCGAGCGCGTATCATCACATCGTTAAGTTTTCTTGATTGAATATTGATCTTTGATAAGCGCTGTGAAGCATCGTTCGCTGGATGTTTGTAATGTGTATGAATGGGGGCATGTCAGTGAGCAACAAAAATCTTCTTTATTTGCTGCTATATAAGTATTCTGAAAAATTCTAGTGATCAAAGTGTGTTGAACATTGGCAGCGCTCTGCCTTGCAACTCACCCGTCCAGCCCTGAGTCGCTTGTAATCCCCACCGATAGATGGCAGAGTGGTAGTTACGCCTGCAGGTAGGCTGTACCGCATAGCGCGCATTGGCGGGCTGCCGAACTGCGCGCTGGAAATTCACTCTGCAGCGTGAACCCAAGTCGTCGACGTCACGCACATTTAGGACATTGGTAGCTTACAGTTGGGTTGCAACACTTACTTGAACTTGTTACTGGCACTGACTCCTTGCACACCGTTATTGCTGCACCGTTGTAACGCCTCTGATGTGACTGTGTTCGCACCTGTCTGTTGCCAGCTGCGGGAGATCAACCGGCACCCGTGGGTGATAGCCGGCTCCAAGGGCGAGCTGGAGCTCGAGCCGCCGATGATGGAGGTGGTGCAGACGCACGTGATCCCCGGCTCGGAGCGGCTGGACACGGACGTACTGCGAGCCATGTCACACTTGGGCTGCTTCAAAGACAAGGAGGTGCTCGTCCAGAAGCTGCTCAGCCCCACGTGAGTGGCATGCGATTAAGAGATTTATCAGTTTGGTGTGACTGCTACGCGTGTCATGGGGTCGATTGCGTGCCGGACGGGTTTTCAGTATACCTACTACCAACAGGCTTGTTGGGGCTTGAAACCATGATTCTCTAAAAAGTACAGAAAAGGTCATTGAACGTCAATATTGCTGTGTGTATTGGCACGAAGTGATAAAGCTCAAGCGAGGATGGAGGATAAGACCAAGCTCAACTAGGATAAGACATCATAAGCCTTTTTTTACATATAGTACTGTGATTTTTTTAGAGACCCATTTACGAACAATGTCTTATCTCATATTGGTTTTGGTGGATGCCTACTGTAATGAACACCTGAAATGAATACGCCAGAAAGCTGAGTGTCAAGACATTTATACGAATGTGCCGTCTTCTTTGTTAATTCCTTTTCAAGGAAGAATTTGGGGCAGCTCGACGGCTTAAAAATCCTTTTACTTGGACAAAAGATGAAGCCTCTTTCCTTTTGGACGAGTCAACAGTGGCGAAATTTTCCGTTCTGAATGGTGCCGCCAGCTGTGCTGAATGTGGGCGGCCATTTTCTTTGTTGGGCACATTTGAAGAGAGCACTCTGGCGCTGCATTCAGAACGTCATCTAACCTGATCATCCCGCCAGTCTCTGAGGGCCGTCCGATTCGTGCCGAGCTGGTCACGAGATTCCCGTGCCACGCCCACGAACGGTGCCGGATTTAGCGGGCACGAATGGGGCGCAAATAGTGAGATAATGATTTGATAGAGCGGAGATAAAAGATTAACGAGCGTTTTTTCAAGGAAAAGTTTAGATGCGATAATTATTGTCTTGTTTAATGCTATGTTAACTCTTCTGTTTTTTTGTTACCACGGATGACACCAGGATAGGACGCCGAAGTTGTCCTAATTAATTCAATTGCTTAAATAAGAAGTGTGTCAACGTGAACTCAGCGTAGCGTGCTGAATAGGGGCACTTCTACCAGTTTGGGCTGGCTCAACTCGAGTGTCGTCAATGATATAACTTAGCTCCATTCTGTCGGCTCTCTGGGCGGCGCCCCGGTCTGCCGATGTATCTCAGACGTCGGCCGCGGGTTAATGAGCAAAGTTTGCCATTTAGCGCCACAGGGGCTCGATACAGCCTCAGGCTCTCCACCTACTCTCTCAGCTCGGCCCCTCTCTCTCCTCACTCTCTCACTACCGCTCTCTCCCTCTCGGCGGGTCTCGCGGGAAATGGCGCGGCTCGGTCCGGATATTGAGTCTGCGAGCTCCGCCCTTCTCGACGCACTGGCCCTTCCTGCCGCCCAGCGCTCCCCTTCCTGCCGCCCAGCGCTCCCCTTCCTGCCTCCCCAGCGCTCCCCTCCGGCCTCCCCAGCGCTCTCCCCGCCTCCCCAGCCCTCGTCCCTCCCTCTGCCTGCTCGGCCCCTCCTCCGACAACCGATCGGCAATCATACGGCGATGGCCGGTCAGAAAGATCGTCGACCCGACATCATCACGTCGCCATCGTTAGCTAGTTCTTCCCCTCCCCTGCGTCTCCATCCCGGCCACCCCTCTGGCCTCCCCAGCCGGTCGGTCCCGAGGAGATGTTCATGGAATATCAGGGGAAATGAGCAGCTTTCTGGGAAACTGCCAGCCGCAACGACACTTGCCACCTCTCATCGTTCAATTTCCACCCTCTTCAGGCGTCAGCATCGACCGCGACGTGGGGAGCATCTCTTCTGAACTTCTCTCGAGGAGAACACTAGATCAAAATTAACCACGCACGTATCGGCAACCTTTTCGCAATAAAGCAGGGGATGGCTGACGCGCTGTCTATGGGACAATTCAGGACAATTCTCTCCCGTATGCCAGATAAATAGAAGGACGGGACTGGCGGGACACTGTGTTCTGTATAAATACTGGTAGCGCCTCTCGAACGCTGTCCGTGTTATCACAAACTCGGCACCGCGGCGGCGGCCGGGTGTCGCGGAGTCGCAAAATCACCATGGCAGCGTAGGGAGAGTGTCTCTTTGTCCTCCTGGCACGGGGGAGAGGGCAGCTGAATCCTCTGGAAGTTGACCAAGTTCTGAGGCTGAGTGTCTTCAGAACGGAGGAAAAAGTCCCGCTGTTTCTTATTTAATTATATAATAGTGCCGTTGCGTGCGTTTTGATAGCATGCGTGTCGCTCGATACCCAACTTTTCACACAAATGTGAAAGTGGTCCACGCCTGCCCCATGAACAGAGAACTTAACAGATTCTTGCCATAAAACAGCTTTAGCAAATATACGCTGGAAATTCTTTCGCATTCCTGACTGTCTCACTGAGAAGTTGCATTGCGTATCCAAAGTTAAATTTGAGAAGTATCTTCAGTCCTGCGTACTGCAGTCTCGGGAACATATAAAAGTGTTCCGATGTCTGAATATTTGAAATTTTCCACTTTTCAGTAAATGTTCCAATAGCACCGTTCTACAACAGGACACATCTCAATACGAGCCTCAAAACTGAACTATGTACTCTGCACTGTTTTCAGAACACAACTCAGTGCCGACGTCCATTTTGTTAAATCACGGTGAAGGCAGCAGTCGACTATGTTCCTGTTGACATTGGGTGTATTGGACTAAATCCGGGCTCGAGTTTCACAACAGATAAATAGCAACTGATGGTTGGCTGAGCTGGTCAGATCCTGGAGACGAACCATCAGTGAACTGACTACTGAGGTGGATCAGTCGGTCGCGATTCCATTAGTGTTATTTCCGGGAGAAACATACCACACATCCCATCTGTGCAGTATGCTATACGAGAGGCTAAGCTACTCAAAGGTACTGCATAGCGCCGCTAAAAACATCGATGTTTCGGCTGTTCCTGCGTAGATGACTGAAAAAATTGGCGATGCCGGACTTACTTCCATTACTTTCATTGTGCTATATGTTTCGTCTGCACTCAACATTCGAGCCAGGAGCGTGATTTCTATTTGATAAATGGTCACTGACATTTCAAGTTCGCCGAAGCAGGGCTACTGTTGTTTCCGCTCCCAGTGCACTCATGCTTTGATTGGCGGCGGTACTGTAGCGAATGTTAAGGGAACCACTCCATCTCTCGTTGCAGCCACAACACCGAAAAGGTCATCTACTTCCTGTTGCTGGAGCGGAAACGGCGCAAGCCAGCCTATGAGGATGACGCAGAGGCCCTGATGAGAGCCAGGTGGGTGCGCGTCCGGTGGGATTCGCGACTACCCCCGTGCGGCTGCGGGAACAGAAATCAGACAACTTAAGTGTAGACGGGCTTATAACTGAGCCTATGCTCCAACTATTTCTCTCACCAATAGCCTGTAAAATAAGTAGGAACGGACGGGCTCGCCTAGTCCTTTTAAGCTGGCGTTTGCTCGGAGCGGACGTCAGCTTTGGTGGACTGGTCGGCCACTATCGCTCCGAACCAATCACAGACTGACACATTATAGTTTACCTATATACCTGCACTGAAGCCTGTCTTGCTGCTTCCTTCACGTGCCGTCTGAAGTTCGTGCGCCTATGTGAGGTGATACGCCAACTGCAATGACCTGACCTGACCCTGATTTATACCAACAGGTCTGAGTCGGCCGATCCGCCGCGGAAGAGAGTCGACTCGTACAAACTGAACGGCTCCACGCACCAGTATGAACAGCTGAGCGAGGGTTCGCCCGTCATACCTCGAAGACACTTCCACCAGTACGTACCGAGCGCATACAAACACTGCTACGCCTCCCAATTATCCATACCGGACTCACGCATTGCAATACTTTCATCATAGCATGTGCATTGAACTCACTGGTGTTTCGATACACTACATACGTCGATCACTTTCACGGCCTTACTTCTTATCAAGTGCAATACGGAGCCTATTTGATCTTTTTTTTTCCAATACTTTCCATTCTCCAACAGCGCCCGAAGCAGTCAAGTTCAGTGCTCATTTCTCGTCTCTCACCGAATAGCTAACCGGTTTGATTGGAGGGCTTTAAATGGCTGTAATTAATCATTTCTGGTAGACAGTTGCTTCGGACGGCAATGAAGTACCTTATGGTGAATCTAAGTTACATTGGCGAATGTTATTAAAACGTTAGTAAAACGGCTTAATAGCGTTGCAAATGTTTAAAAAAATGAAAATATGATTGCGCTTATGACTTTTAGAATGTAAACTCATTGATAAGCCACTTTTTGAGCAATTCATTTTGTCAGTTTTCCTTTGCCGAATCTCGTTAAATAATTTTTCGTAACTACATCTTGTAGATAAATGTAGAGCACAACCAAATTCATCGGAGTTATGCGAGTAGAAACGTGTATGAAACGTTTATGATATGCATGATTTTATGTGCGATACTGTGTTGCTCTTGTTATGTCGCCTGATTGCTTATTTTCTCATAATATGTACTGTTGTGTGTAACTTCACTGATGATGTCTTTGTTCAGAGACGAAACGTTTGATTTTACATGAAGAATATAACGATATGCCTTGTAATAAGGTTTCTACTGCTCCTGAAGCCAACAAAAGTCAGACTTTTTGACGCAATTAAACGAGATTATGCTAGTAGTTTTGACGACATTCATCTCGAACGTAGGCAGTGGTATTTCATTTGATGCTAGCTTATCCATTAGCTGATTGAGAGCCATATATGTCCTGTTTTTATTGTGCTTTCATTTACGATTGCTTTGTTATTGATGTTTGGCTGACATCATGCTCACTTATGGAGGATTGGGGTTGGCTTTATTTTCCATTATCCAGGATGCAGTTTTGAATCCATTTGGGTTATAGGCCCTGTTCTATGATTAGACAAGCCCTGGAACCACTCAATGATCTCTCTCCACCGGCTGTGTCTCTGGAGGCTGGTAAAGGGGTAATGAGAAAGGGTGAGGTGATCTACGGTGGCTCACATACAACTATACCCACCGGCACCTGACCGCACCATCCCCGCACCCGCAGACGGCGGCGGCCCAGCAGCTCTTCCGGCCTCAGTCCGCTGTCGTCATCGACGGTGACGCCGACCGTGTCGCCGCTGCCGTCGCCCAAGCTGCTGACGCGCCCGTCGCCGGGGCCGGCCTCGGACGACCTGGCCACGCCGCCGGCCTCGCCGTACGGCGCGCCCGCCTACTGGCGCTCGCGACTCAACACCATCAAGAACTCGCTGATGGGATCTCCGCGCTTCCACCGCCGCAAACTGCAAGGTGAGTCCGAGAGAGCGTCCCGTCGAGTCATCTTTATATCATTCAGTACCAATCAACTTAGGTTATTACAGAGAGATTTGAGGGCATTCAATGCCTAGACAGTTTTTTGTTTTGGCGAAAGAGATTGACATCAAAGGAAACCGATCTTCGATAAATCTGGTAAACGGGAAACCCATTGATTTGCGCCACAGCATCCAGAGCGTAGGAGCACATCTCCCTTGTCTTTTTCTTCCTCCTCGTCTCTTCTTTTTTGCTCTCAGCTCCAGACCCAATACATACTCTACCGTTGTACAAACATTTCTTTGCCGTGAGTCTGTCGCTGATTATAGGCTTAGTGGGCCTGTCTGCCTCATGTCCACAATACCCGGGCACACATGTGTAAATATTTACCTCCGTGTTACACCACCGGCGCGTGTAACATCTCCGCTCTCAGGAGGATGCTGGCCCTTATCATATCGGGCAATATTCGCCCGGCGTGCGCTGCGATGATGCTGTTGTGCCTCTAAACGGTCCCAACCTCGGCAAACGGTATGCAAAGATCACCCAGAGGGCTCATATGCAGTTTTACATCGCAGGCAATGAATAAAAAAGTTTCTTGGAATGGTTGAAATCTTGTGATCGTTCTGCCCTCATAGGGCAGGAGCGGTTGCAATCCGAGAAAGCCGACAGCTTTGGCTGAGCTAGGTAGTCTGTAAAACAGGTATGAAATTCATAGCGCGCTGCTGGTGTGATATGATACAACGATACCTGATAAAGCGATACCTTGGTGATACGGTGATACGGCAACCCATAGCAAGGCATATTGTAAGCCTGTAGCGAGTGAATCGACCCCTGCTGTCAGGCCGCACCTATGTAATATAAAGTGCATATTCTGAGCGACGCAAGTATGTCTATTGTCGTCTAGTTACGTTCATTTAGGGACGATACACGTTATTACACCAAACCGAAGTGATAACAATTCACCGCAAGGGCAAATTGCCCCGGCTTTCCTCTCGGCCAGTAATTGGATTTTCAACCCAACGCTAGATGACGTCGGCCGCATTCTGATTAAGGCGTCATGAGTGCCATAAGTCTCCACACCACCCAATGAACTCACATGCTCATTTCCTTCAGTAGACGGGACATATTTCACGAAATATTTGCTGGCGGCTGGAGCTGAGACCGGCGAACCACCTACCGACAGCCTTGCCCGTTTGAAGCCACGCTGGTTTGTGATGGTGGCGTTGAGCCTCTCGGGAATGAGTGGTGAGGACTGAGGCCGGACAGCAATGGCCCTCCATGGCGTCAGTTGAGAGCCTCGGCCGCCCGAATGGCGCCGAATGTGATGGACCGTATCTGGCAATAAGAAGGCTCACACACCGTCCACAGTTATATAGATGGTTATTGCGCAGAAGCATCGTAAATAGACACCTAACGCTCGGGCTTTACTTACTGAATGCCATGGACTAACTATGATAGATGGACCGTTCACGATGCAACAATGGTAACGGTAAGGTATGTAATGCCTGTTCTTTGACCCTTATAACATACTTAGCCGAAGCAATCAAATCATGTGCTCTATTCATCAAGCAAATTGTGACTGAGGCGAACACGAATGAGGCAGGTGCTGAAGTGATGACAATTTGGCTATGGAAAGCTTAAAACTTTAAACCGAACGGATATCCCAAGTCTTTTTATTTCCCCAAATTTCACCTGCGCTTTTGTGGTGGAATGTGTAGGATCATCGGAGCGAGGTCAGATATGTGGTTGACCAGCTCCTAGCTGGACGAGCTAAGGAAGAAGGCTAGTGATGCTGGTATTGGTTGGGTTTGGCGCCATGCGTCACTGCTTCTGTACGAGGGAGCGCGCGTCTCAAATGGGATGGTCCGGGAAGAGAGAAGCAGTCCCCTGTAGTTGATGTGGAGTGGCTGGCCGTGACGGGAGAGGTGAAAAGAGACAGAGACAGAGGCAGACAGAGACGTATACAGAGACAGACAAAGAAACAGAGAAGCTAACAGAGACAGAATAGGAAAGAGAAAGATAAAAAAGATAAAGAGCAGAGAGAGGGAGGGAGAGAGAGAGAGAGAGAGAGAGAGATAGAGAGAGAGAGAGAGAGAGAGAGAGAGAGAGAAAGAGAGAGAGAGAGAGAGAGAGAGAGAGAGAGAGAGAGAGAGAGAGAGAGAGAGAGAGAGAGAGAGAGAGAGAGAGAGAGAGAGAGAGAGAGAGAGAGAGAGAGAGAGAGAGAGAGAGAGAGAGAGAGAGAGAGAGAGAGAGAGAGAGAGAGAGAGAGAGAGAGAGAGAGAGAAGCGACCAGAGTTACACTAGTGTCGCTGAGATTCCGTCTCAGTTATGGCCTATGAGCTGGCCTGGGAAACGGCTCAATTCTTCATCCACTCAGAGTGACATGACAAAGACCGTCTGTTGTTGTGCCGCCCAGAGGGCATTAATATGACAGCCACAAGGGCTTATTAATCGCCGTTTCGGTTCGTTGAACATTTACGCTGTCGTAAACAGACAGAGGGAACTTGCTAGGAATGAATTTTGGTTAACCCGCGCACCGACGGGGGTCTGCGCCAACTTAGTACCGACGGGGGGGGGGGGGCGGATGACCGCCCCCCCCTGAGATCTCGAGAACAAAGCAAGATAGCGACAAGCGGTAAACGGCATCGGATACGCACGGTCAAGATCTACAATTTTCACTAAGGTCATTTTCAGGTCAGGTCAAAGATGACGTCACAGGGGTCGAAAAAGTCAAAATGGCGGCGCTAAATATGGAGAGAGTTTTTCTCGAATAACTTTCGAATTATTCAAGATAGGAACAAACTAAGGGCATCATCGTGATCCTCTCGTCAATCCGCATCGAATGATATATATGTTGACCTCGAAAGGTCAAGGTCAAAGGTTGACCTCAGGTCACGTGACCTCGAGGTCATCATGTATATCATTCGATGCGTCTTGACGAGCTGAACACAATGAGACCATCCACGCGTCTGTATCTTGTTCCTGTACGGAGTTATTGGCCAAAAACCTTTGGTGACCTTTGATGACGTCACATGACCTCACAGCTGCCCAACAGCAAAACAGACCTCAAGGTAGTGAAGGTTGATCGTATATGAAGTCATGTATGGTATATGGGGCCATTCCGACCCGTTTTAGTGGTAAAAACATGGAGTTGATTTTTCCCCCATGGACTTATAATGGGGAGGTCGCGAAATTGACCTGACCTTAGGTCACCGATATCAAAATTCCAAGATATACAAATTGTAGCTACTAATGACCTTATAACATCCTGCGACTTTCAAAGGCCTCCGACATCTACTGTAGCTCTGGCACGGTGACAAAGTTGCAAAAAAGTGACTTGAGGTTGGGTCATTCAAAGTGACCTGGTGACCTGACCTTGAAAGGTAGGAGGTTCAAACTTGCGCACCATGTGTAAAATTGATAAGGGAATAGTCATACCAAATTTCGCGGCGCTACGCGCCGCGGTTTTCCCGCTATTCGCGAAAAACCTCAGGGGGGGGGGCGGATATCCGCCCCCCCCCCGTCGGTGCGCGGGTTAATGTTCTGGTAAGCAGCATTCGGAGTGCTTTCGTGCCTGCTCTGTTACAATTCCCTGATCCCACATCTGCAAGATAAAATGCTGTTTTTCTTACTGCACTTACATCCTCAATCGCTCAGCGTTTTTATTGCATTGTGCTTACTGCTTTTAGCTAATAAATAGCGGTATTGGCTGCCTTTTTGTGTCTAATAACCTGGAGGCCGATGTCGGCCGGCACTGTTCGGAGACTCGCCGTCTTCTGTACGGCTCTCCGTACTGTCCTATCAGTGCCGTCGGACGCAGCATCCCATGTGTCGGTCGCAGGGGACAGGCCGGCAGACCGTTTGTCCTCCGATGGGGGGGGGGGGGGGGCGCTGTCCCGCCGCCGCTGCCGCTATTGATCCTGACCCACTCGGCTGGCCACCGCCCAAAACGGGCCGCCCTCCGCGGCGGCGGTCACGGCCGCCCCCGCCGCCGCCCCCGCCCGCCAGTCCTGCCGGGTCGTTCTGCGCCGCCCGCGCCCCCGCCGCCGCCGCCGCCGCCGCCCCTGCCCCCGCTCCCGCCAGCAGCGGCTGGTGCTGATGGCAGGGCGGAGCCCAGCCCCTATCTGACTCTGAACCGCGATGACAATCCGATGCTCACTTTTGTTCTGTCCGTTCTGGCGGAACCAGCTCTGGACAAACGAAGACAATAGTGGAGGAAACGTCGCCCCCACAGGCTTTCCGTTTCGGTGGACTGCACCGCCATTAGACCGGTGCCTCCCCCGCATAGGCGGCGGAACGGGGAGGGCACCGGGGCAACGTGCCCCACTTTGATTTTGGCATTTTAACATTAGCCCTATGGGCGTTGCATGGAAAGAATGGGACCAAAAGTTGGCAGTGCCCCCCCCCCTTAATTGAAGGTGTTCCGCCGCTACTGCTCCCCCGCCCCTGACCAAGTGACCCGCCTGGCTCCGCGCCGACCGGACGAAAATCGAGAGACGGTGCTCGAACACGATGGAATTTTGATGCAGATCTTATGCTGATGGACCCGGGCTGCCATCATTCATGGCCCAGCTGAAAGCCATGACTGATGAACCTTCAGACGAGTTTTTATGACTGCTGTCAGCAACTTCGGAATACCCGAGAATTGGCAATTCGTCTCGTTGGATTAAATGCTCCGGACATGCTTTACTGAATAGTGAACATCCATGTAGCTGTATGTAAAACATGTAAGCTAAGTGTTCACCATCAATAAGCTGCTGTGAGCTGTTGTGTTTTCTGGGGTGTCCACAGCAGAAAGCCTCTCTGTGAAATTGTAAGTGTTCTGGTGGCCTCGTTCCATCTTCATTTGTGTCTCCCGAGCGAACTGTTTTTGTCGAGCGGCCGCCGCCGTAAGTAGAACAGATCACGGCCTTACATCTCTGGCCGAGTGGGCCGCTGAATTCGGCGGCCGGTTTTCATCAGCAATGGCTAAGCTTTCGTCAGACCCGGCCAAAATAATTTCATCTGAGGCCAGTAATAAGTATCTGCGCGTCCACCGGCACGGCCATGGCAGAACCTCTGTGCTAGGTCGTCGTTGTCATTGGGGATGAATGGTGACACGGGTGTAGCCGCTGCCTCACTGAGAGTTGAGTGTCGCGATCGCGGTTATTTGTTTCGTCACCGACCAGCCTCCGTCTTTTCTGTAACACCACTAGCCCACACTGGTAATGCCACTAGCCCACCCTGGTAATGTGACGAGCCCACACTCGTAATATCACTAGCCCCGACCCTCGCAATGTCACCAGCCCACGCTGTTACTTACACTGTCGGATTTGCGCCGTCAGATTCGTGTGGGCGGCCGTCGGAACTGACGCCACATCTGGGTGGCTCCGAGTCGTGTTACCGAATGCACCGCCGGATCTGAATATGTTCGGACGACCGCGGCTGATGCGGGGACATATTAGATGCCATGTCTGGCAGATATCTGGAACTTTGTGTTACGTGATGCCGGAATCCGGCAGCATGTCCGACAATTTCCGTTTAGCCAGAATCATATTTGTGCAGTAGTTTTTAGGAAAGTTGTATTATTGTCATCACATCCTACCATATTAGTCTAAAGTGTCACATAGTTATTCCTCGAATCGAAATTAAGGGTGGCATTATTTTCGGATATGTTGCAGGACAACTAAAGATAAAACAGATGAATTATGCCAGAAAATAAACCAATTACAAAGGGTAGCTTCTGTGTGAGGATTTTCTTTTAGTAATGTATTTCAACCAATCATGATTTCAGTTTAATCGCATTAGACCCGTATAGTGCTGGCCATTTCCTTGGCCATTGTGTGACCATCCCACCAGTTCCATCTGATGAGACATGACAATCGGTCTGCCTATTTTGCGACCATCCCAGTACCGTCCGAAGAAACGCGGCACTCGGTCTGACCGTTGTCTGACCGTTTCAGTACCGTCCGAAGAAACGCGGCACTCGGTCTGACCGTTGTCTGACCGTTCCAGTACCGTCCGACGAGACGCGTCTGACCATTCCTCGACCGTTTCAGTACCATCTGATAAGACACGACACTCGGTCTGACCGTTGTCTGACCGTTCCAGTACCGTCCGACGAGACGCGTCTGACGCCCGAGTCGTCCCCGGAGCTGACCAAACGCTCGTGGTTCGGCACGCTGATGGGCTCGGAGCGCGACGAGAGCTACACAGTCATCATGCGCAACAAGCCGCTGGCCATCGTCAAGGCCGACCTCATCCACTCGTTCCTCTCGGTGAGTGACGACGAGGCCGATTTCATCCACTCGTTCCTCTCGACCTCATCCACTCGTTCCTCTCGGTGAGTGACGTTGAAGGGACCCTCCCACCTTCAAAAAAGTTTATGAATTGGCATGAAAGTGTTGTTGCTCGGTTCAGAAAGAGCGAAAACGAATATCTACCAAATTTCACCGAAAAATATTCACCGGTTTTCAAGATATTAGACTTTTACTTTTGTTTACTTTTTGGGATATCCGCTGTTCCTAGCGACTTTATTTGGAAGCAACTTTGGCAGCTGAAAGTGCGGCACTTGTTGCGCGCAAAGCAGCATATACCACCGCGTGCTACAAAACGTTTTAGTCAAACATTTAAAAATTGTTAGATATCTGCGCTGACGTCACACATTCAGAGGGGTATTCCTATGCATTAGCCCCTCTGAATCAAAATGCTGCAATTTTGGAATTCAATATTTCCGAGGCATTTCTCGATGTTGTGAGTGCCGAAACCGGTAATTGTGAGCCAGGGACCCCATTTTGGCTATCTCAACTCAAATCTAATGTTAAGGTGGGAGGGTCCCTTTAAGGCCGACCTCATCCACTCGTTCCTCTCGACCTCATCCACTCGTTCCTCAGGGTGAGCTACGGCGAGGCCACCCGTGCCGCGAGAGGCAAGGGCTGCTCTCTTTGGCGCGTGAGCATCCCTCTCCCAAACTCTACTGAACAGCTGGATAAATGTCTCATACACGCCTAATAAATTAAATGAGTAGGATATAACATGTATTGCGGCTTGCGGGCCGCGGCCATGGGTAGGACTAGTTTGCGCTCATACCGCTCATACCTACGATGCAGCACATACTTTTATGACAATTTTGTGCGTGTATTTGTTGCTCTCAGCGCTGTCAAAGTATTTCCCCGTTGGCGATCACCGGATAGGAGTACTCCAGTGTGCCCTCTCGCGTAGGGTGATGAAACGCACATACGTTTGAACGTATTCAGGTCACACGGCTGTGGTACGTCGCCACGGAGCAGTGAACACCCACACAGCTGAACCCTTTGATCAGGCTGCCGAGTCGCGCAGTTAATGCTGTCCTGTTGCGGTTATTATTTTGTGATAAAGTCTGGGTATTATTAGCAAATTCATTAAAGGCTAGTACAGACATGCGTCTGCTGGGACGGCATCAATGCATTTAACTGAGCAAAATGGTGCGTTTGTTGGTAATGAGATAGCTAGGACTTTGGATGGTCTACCATAGGAGATGTGTCCCAAAAAGCTACCAGGTGTGTACTGTATAGATAGGTTACTAATTAGGTCAACAAAGAAGGAGCCCTACGACCGTATTTGATACGACCGGATCCAGACCCAGGCCTACTGAATTCTGAATTCCGGATGTGTGATTTAGGCGTTGCCAGCTACACTGGTGCAATCATCCACCGGACACGTCAAATCAGCAATCGATGGGCGGTTCCAACGTGTCAGTGAGAGCGTCAGCTATGTGGGCGACGAGAGAGCATTTACCGTGTCTCATGCAATTGTTGACTCAAGCAAAGATAACAGTAGTTCTACTGTTATCTACGACTCAAGCTAGGAAAAAATGCTTCATTCAAATAGCCAGAGTCCAGACGTGAGCTGGCATTTCTCAATTCTATTTATTCCAGAGGATGAACTGGTTCGGTGTAATAAACCCATTTGATGTATGATGAAAGGCCGACCTTTTCATGCTTTCCGACGCTGGATGGCAGGATAAATTAATAATTATTTCTGCTTGCTATTTGGATGCAGGCCGTTTGTTCCAGGAAGAGCTGCCAGAATGCCAGATAATACTCCCTCGCATGTTTGCTTGCATAACGACATACTCGTATGATTTCTTGCTAAAGATCCACTAACTTTGTCACATCATATCTCTTTCCCCGGTCTGCTGCGATAAGTAGATAGTAGATACCATCAACGTACCCACTATGTGCTACGCTGCGCGCCGCTGGCGTTCATAAATAAGAAGCCAATCTAATACAGTCGGTTTCGGCGCCATTTATATCCATGTCGCGTCATTACGGTAATGCTGCTGCGCTGTATCGCTCCCGTGAGGTCAGATTGGACGGCCTCAGTACAGTCGGTTCGCAGGGAAGTGGTCGCTCGGACTGCGCTGGTGCGCTAGTATCGGTCCGTTCCGGGGGTCTCGGGTCGTTGGGACGGGGAGAGGCACTGCGTTGCTGTATGTAGGCGCCGATTGGCTTCGTGTTTCGTTGACGATGGAGAGGCGGCGGCGGTCCGTCGGTCGACTGATCTACTCGTGGCTACCTTCTCCGACCGCGGCGAGCCGTTCTGTTACGGTGCAACGGCAGTACTGAGCACGGCAAGTTGTAGAAAGGCGTAGTGCAGACTTTGATGGACTGATTGCGGTGCAGGCCGTGGGACAACCAGAAGAAACCAGAGCATCTGTCAGAGGCGCTTCCCTGTACCTACTTATCCCATTTCAGATGTGTCCAGAGTGCCGACTTTTCCCTTGTTAGTCCTGTACCTACTTACGGTTCAGATTTGTTCGTTGCGATCAGTTCAGTCCAGTTCGATCCCACTAATGTGAAGGGGTCATCCGGAGGTAGAGGGCGGCGCCCACCGGTCAGCGACTGGACGTTTGCCTGATGTAACCTGATGTAGATATATTTACTATACTACTACTATACTATACTATACTACTACTACTACTACTACTAGTAACCTGATGTGTACCGACTCTGGTGATGGCCATCCCATTCCACACTGTCGACATCAGTTAGGAGTGACAGTGACGGTCCTCCCGGAACTGGAAACAAGGCAGTCACGCAGCGCGCGCACCGGTGGATCTGGTCCGTCAGAGGGCTGGCTGAGACTGTATAGGGGCTGGGTGGATGGGCTGAGTGAGCAATGTGGGCCGCACGGGGCTGACGCAAGGCTCAATGGGTGGACAGATTAGACGAGCAGACAACTGACGGACAGATTAATAGACGGGCAGATCTACAGACAGACAGAGGGACGGACAGACAGACAGAGGGACAGACGGACAGACGAGCAGTCTGACAGACGGACAGTCAGACAACAGACAGAGAAACGAATTGTCACGCGGAGACACATGCTGACGAGCACACTCTCAGACAGAACGGATAGACCTACGCCGAAACCACCCATCAAGTAAGACGCTCCCAACTAAGCACCACGACACCGTCGCGGCGCTCCCGTCCCAGTCCTAACGAGAGCGCACACCCGAGCAGTCCCATCTGCACCCCAACTCGGACCGATCCCGGATCCCGGGTCTACCGGCGGTCATCCGGCGGCCGCCCGGAAGTGATGACGTCACTTCCGGAACACAGACTGGAGGCTGGGCCAATGGCGGATGGCGATGGGTCCAGGCGGTGGTGGCGTCAGCAGCATACAGCCAATCCGGGGTTCGATATACGTGAGGCTGCGGATGGGACTACATCTGAAGGCAGATGGTAGCGAGGAGACGTAAAATGGGCTAGCTTACATAAAAGAACGTAAGCAATGCTCAACTGGCTCATCGGTCGTCAGTCCCTTATAGGTGGGCTGAAATGACGGGAGTAGTGTCGAGACAAAACATGGTCTGAGCTCACATGGAGTTATCAAGGAGAGATGAGCCCCGGATGGAGATAAAACTATGACGTGCTGAGCAGTGCTGAATGCTGATCTAAAAGGAAGACCAATATCTCCATGTGCAACGTTTTGATGGACAGCGATGAATGGAAAATGTTGTGGAATATAAAAGTCTGACACCGACATCGCCGCAATTTGTCAGAGACAGGGTTCCAGTGTAACTGATGTCCATCAAACTCGAGATTGAGGCCGACAGAGCAATTTATCAACACAGCATCGTCTTCGAAAAGATAGGTATCTCAACACAGGAAGCACCAGTTTCAGCTTACAACAAATCAGCCCCGCTGGGGTTAGCCCTTGTCTGGTTGTTTTCCTATGGGTATCTTTTCTTTTTGCTATCAAAATATGTGAATAGATGGCTCCGTTATAAAATATCTTACTATTTGGTGTTCAGCCATTCAGCGATAAGCTGCCAATGCAGTATGATACTGATTAATAATTTCTAGGATTCGTCTGCAATGGATCGGATAAGAAGATATATTATCTATGAAAGTTTCATCGCTTCAAAACGTACATAACAGCGCGGTAACATATTCACATTTACATAGTTTAATCAGTCGCCTGATTCGCTGTTTTATTGATTCACCGGTCGCACAGCTCGCTGCTATATTTGGCAGACATCCGTTTCGCTGGTGAATTCCTGTCAGTGAAACGTGGTGCTCTGCGCTCATATAGATGGGCATGTAAGCAGTCCGACACCGACACACGATCTGTGTGCCAAACGGATCTGCCACAAACACCATCAGCTATGTCCCGGATTTGACGTGTTAGCCGGGTGAGATCCGTATGTCAAATAAATCTCTGATGGTAAAGAGCCCATTCAATCCTGTAGACTTAAGCATTCGTGTACATACAATAACCGAAGGTTTGTTGTCAATAGTTAAAACACTATTCTTTAGAATTGTGTTTTTCTATTGAAAAACAAATCTGAGTTGCCTGACAATTTGGCAAAGGCTGCCTGAGATCAGTATGCATACAGACAGGTGTGTCGACAAGGCTGCTGTATTCTTCTGTTCGTCCGGACTAGACCGCTGCCTCCCTTGGGATATTCTAATCAAGCTGTAGCGTTTTCCTCCGTTCATAAGAATCAGTTTAATAGCTCCTTCCGGACGCCGCAGACCAGACCGCTGCGTGGCGCTCTCCGAGCTCCCGGCATTCAAACCAAGCTGTCTTCTTTGGCCCTAACTAGGCATTCCTGAAGTGATGCCAAATCTCACCACAGGCGTCTGCGACACTTAATTAAACCGTAACTGTTTCCGATGACCCTCCAAGTACCTATTACGTAAGCTCTACTCAACTCTTCGTGCATTTTGCATTAAAGACGTCTGTGCAGATTGAAAGCTTGCCAGTTGTTTGAGGGAAACGAGTTCCCAGCGGCCTGTAAGACTTTCTCTCGGTGCTTGCGAACTTGTCAGTTACATGGCTGACTGGCTCTCCTTTCTGCTAAAGTTGGCAGACGATAGCCCATGGACTGTTCCAGGAGTTAACAGTGCAAACATTTTACTAGTGGTTGATCAGTGACCAGTGATAAGTGATATAGCTCGAATAGATAGGCTATTTACGATTAAGCCCATTTAACACTCTCCTGCTCGTCCCGGGCTTGTGCGGGTGAAGATTCACACGGTATGGGGCCCTTCCCTCTGCAGACTACGATCAAACCCCGTGCTCCGTGGCGAGCCGATCCAACTTAGAGGACTGCAGCCTCCAGTCAAACTTTACGAGCGAGACGCGCCCGATTCAGCGGAATTAGATCGATCTGGTTCGGCTAGTTTTCCTCAATAAAACACTGAGCGCGGATCGTCGACCTTTAACCGGGCCTAAGGGTGTCTCTTCAAGGCAAATCGCAGACACGTGCCGTCTGACGTTTGCCCCCGTGCCTCGCCACTGCACTGACCGGTCAGATATCTGACCTGGGACCCTTGCTGCCTGGACTGTGACCTGTAGTCTTTTGCCGAGAACCTGTACCGCCTGACTTTTGCCCTTAAACGTTAGACCATACGAGTTCCATGTCTGATCTGTGACCTACTCCGATCTATGACCGCTTTACTGTATGATCTTTGACTTACTCGATCTGACCCGTGGCAGGTTCCCTCTGACCTACGATCTTGTTACCTGTGAGCTCCACCGTCTGACCTGCCTCCCGTCTCTGCGTTCAGATCGCCGATCTTAGCCACAGCGTGACGTCTCCGATGTCGTTTCGAGTCGAGTACCGGCGCGGCGCGGCCGGACCGGCCGTCTTCCAGCGCCAGGTGCGGTTCCAGGTGGACATCACGCCCGTCACACAGGGTGACGACGAGTGCCTCTACGCCATCAACTTCTCACTCGTCTCCGGTGAGTGAGATAACGGAGTGAGATGCCTGTTGACGGTAAGATAACGTAATTCAGTTACCAGTCTGCGGTGAGATACTCAATTTGGATTGTCCCTTGTCCTCATTGAAAAGTCTGCTGACCATTCGTCTCCAGTGGTATGAAAAAGCGTACCTACCATTATGCTAAGCTACGATGAAATTTGATATAGAGTATCGCTGGTATGTCATATTCTTTTTTCATTCTCCCGCTGGAATCCACACCATAGAGGAGGTGGTGTCACGAGTTGTTTCAATTTAATGCAGCTGGTGGCATAATCATTCTAAATTAAATTCGTTTTCCTCCCACCCCTTTAATCAGATTACTGCAGCGTGTGACGAGAAACCGTTCTGAGCTGCAGTTCCACCTCTCCTCTGGACGGGGCGGATTGGATTTCCATCTAAAACAGTGCCAACTTCATTATACAAAATCTCTGACTGGATTGTGTGTATTACTCCGGCCGTGGCAAGTGCAATGCGGATTGTGGAATGCGGGTGCTGCTCCGCAAAGTGATAGCTGATCATGCATGAGTGAGGTCATGTTACCGAATGACAGCGACGAAGGGATCAGCATTTAGCTGGTCTAAGAAAGACACGCCCTCCGTCAGGACCCTCGTAACGTTGTTTAGACCCGTACCGATGATCTATTTCGTCTGATCTCTTCCGCCATGTCCGCCCAACAGGTAACATCCGCCGGTTCCGCCGGATCTGCGAGCACATCCACTGTCAGGTGTGCTCCCGCCGACCTCCGCCGTCACCCAGGGTGGGCCGGAAGTTCACGGCCGACTTGTCGGAGAGCTCCTCGGCCGGCTCCGACTCGTCAGAGCGGCTGCAGACGGTCGTACCGCCCCGACAGGTAAGAGAGCGAGCTGGGAGGTCAGGGGTGCGTATAGGGGAACTGGGAGGTCGGGGGTAAATATAGGGGGACTGCGAGGTCAGTGGTGTATTCATATAACAGGGACATCAGAGCCAGAGAAAACGGATATGTAAGAGTCCGGTCCGGGAGGTCAGGGTTGCATTCAGAGCAGGTCAGAGCAGGAGCACCAGGGCCAGAGAAAACGTGTAGGTAAGAGACCAGATTAACCTCGGCTAGACTCTCATGGCCCCACTGACCTCCGCTAAGCCTACTGACCTTGTCTGACCTCGCTGACCTCTGGTGATTACGAACGAGTTTGTACCTCTCTCTGAGGACTCAACTGACCTTTTCTTACCTCTGCTGACCTTTTTGCTGATCATAGATGACCTCTGCTGCAGACTATCGACTCGTTCTGACCTCGCAGACGTCTGCTTACACTGCTGACCGGTGCTGATCTCTGATAACCTCTGCTGAATCCTGGTGAACTTTGTTGACCTTTGGTGACCTCGATCGACAGGTGGACGCGGAGTCTGAGGTAGACAACATCCTCGACATGAAAACTCCGACCAACGAGACGGCCGACCCGCCGCTCATTTCGGAGCAGGAGCCGCCGGCGGCCCCAGAGCCACCCCGCTCCGACAGCGGCTCGCCAGCAGCCAGCGACGACTCGGCCACAGCCACTGCAACAGTGACACCTAGCGACTCGGAACCGAACTCGAGCTGCGCCGTGTCGGCGCTATGATCTCCGCGGCGCTAGTGTGCCGCCGCCAGTGAGGGGGACAAGGGTCTGAGGGGTGAACAGAGGCCGGCTGTTGTCGAAATGACCGGCCAGGGACCGTGCAATGAGTGAGGGCGGAGCGGCGCAGGGCGGCCGGTCTGACCTGACCTGACCCGACCCGCTGGTGGCCCGGGCGGTGGGTCTCGCCGGCCGGCCGTCGAGCCGCCTCCCGCCCCTGGAGATCGCGACATTCCCAGTGTAGTTGGCGCCAAACAGTGTTGCCGGGTATATAGGTAAATCTCTATATATTCGGGGTCGGCTGGTAGCCCGGCGGTGGCGCGGCCGCCCGGCAGCGACCGCTGTCTCTGTGTCCGTCTTGTTGCTTGTGTATGCGGAGTGTGTTGTCGGTGGAGCCAGTCCAGTATTCTGCTAGCGACCCGCTGTCTGCCGGCCGCGGTGGCCGTCCGTCCGAAACCAGCGCGCCGCGCTCGTCGACGCAGGGTCCGCCCGTCCCATCGGGCGCATTCAGTATTCCGGCTGGGGTCCGCACGGCCCGCCGAAATCCGGTCGTGCTTCACCATTGCCGTAATTCTGCTGTGTATGTGCTGCTGTGTCCCTGGATTAGATCTCATAAACATCAACATCAAAACATCGATCTTTGTTGGCGTGTTCGACTGTTTGCTGCTTTATCTTTGTTTACATTTTTATTTGATGGCTCTATCTTCTGAACTCCACTGTAACTGTTGTCAACAGCTTTTACTTTATAGACGAATGATCCATGCTCTCGTCTTGCATTCATCTATATCTCGTACCTTTCTAAAGCTGAGATAGACGTCTTCTCTAGTCACTAAGCCCGTTTTCACGTCCCTTCGATTTTCCTCAAAGAAGCTGCTCTCTTCTTTGTGTCGTCAATCGTTACAGAAGGGCCTGAATTTCAAGGTCTGAGATAAAACAGAGCACATTATTTTCATCGGGTGATTGCGGTCGTTGGCTGGATGCGTAATGCGTAATCTTGAGAAAGGAGTACGGCGGGAAGGGTCCGAAAGACAGAAAAAAGTTTAGCTCCAGCCGAGGCGGCCAAACGTTGCTCGATCTTACCTGCCAGTCTGGCGTCTGCTTCAGTATTACTGATCTACCATCATCTTGGGATTGACCGATATGCTTGAGACGCGTGTCTTGTGATAATCTTTTCTGTCTCGATGTGGTTCAATGTCCTTTTCTGTACTGTACCGTACACTGTTTCTATATACTCATCTTTCAGAGATTGTAGCTTTCCGAGCTAGAGTGGTGACTGGCGAACATGTGCAAACTGCTGCGCTGGAGAAAACAGAACAGGTAGTCATGACAACTCGCCTTCAAACGCAGCTAATCTCTTGAACGTGACGTCCAGACTCCCTAGCTGTCCGACGCTCTCTCTGATTATGTCCTCTCTCTAAGAACTCTTCACAACCGTTTGACCAACTCTGTCAACTCCCGGGCGCTGTCAAGCGCGTCTTTATCAATTCGTTGACGCAATCTCACGCTCCGCGCAAGCTGCTTTCCCTCTGGGCTCTGACCTGGCCAACCTATCGCCTCTCAACAGCTCATGAATTCAGAAAAAAAGCCAACGCCCAACTGTCCTCAATTTTGCTCTTGTAGTTTTGCTCCAGCGTCATCATCTTTTTTTGCTCAATCCTCTGAGCTCAATTGGAGCATAAAAATAACTTTTTTCTTGGTTATTCCGTGGCCGGGAAAGTCTGATACTATACCAAAACATTGCGATGACTTCCAAATAACACGATCAAAAATAATACTCGTTTTGTTATTTGTTTTGTCCTGATACATGTGTACCCACACTGTCAACATGTTGAACTGTTGTCTGCTGCTCATCTGTTATGTTGTGTTACTGAGCCGAACAGTTTGATTATCCCAGCGCCATGAGATCTCAACAGTGCATGAATCCGTTTCTGATTTGTTGTTTCGGGCGAGCGATTCGTTCGCCCTTGTGTGCGACCGTGTACTATTTTGTAAGTGATGCGGCGTTGGCGGAGACCGGATCGAGGTGGAAATAGACAACTGCAGCAGAACGATGTGTCTGAGGTCTTCCGGCGCGCCGCCGCGGCGTTGGTCGTCCATTGAAGACGGATTAGGGAGTGACAGGGTGACGTGGGGCGTAGCCATGGGTCATGGCCCTCCTAAGTAAAGCCCTGCACACTAAAAGAACGTTTAATTTCAAACGGCAAATCCGAGATAACCTAGTATTTCTAATTCATGTCAAATAGCCGTCTGTATCATCTCAGCTCGTCTTTTCAATATTTTAAAAAAGGTATGCACAACCTTTAGCCAAAATTGTAGGTACCTACGGCCCTCCAGCAAAAGAGTGGTTGGTTAGCCTATGTGCTTTTGGTGTAATAACTTTGAATGACAGAGACACACCTGTAATATGACTCAATGAAAATGAGAAGAGGGTTCGTGCACACACTTCGGCAATGGTTTTCAACAGCTATTAGACGTATTCATCAATGCAGATCGCTTATTGTGATGTTGGCAACCAACCACTTAATACCTGGAGGGCCGTACTTATTCAGATAAAATATTCATTATTCACGATTTAAAAGATTAATAGGTGATATAACCCTCGCCCGTATTGGTGTTTTTCCAGCCGAGAACGTATCAGGGTTGGACCCCCCCCCCCCCTGCCGTTTGGCGCCTGATCGAGCTAGAGCTTCGCGGAAAAAAACGAGCGTGTTGCCCGTAACGAGAGGAAGCCGATGATACCCACTTTTAAGGATCTAGGTCATTGGTTGACCTTCCAGGTCAGGTCAATGACCCAAAAGTCGGGAAAATCGGGACCTGTTAAAACGTCGTGACGTTTGGCTGCTATAGGGGTTTTCGGGGTCCTGATCTTATGATATTATGATATTATGTTAGTTTTGATCACAGATGATGTCTTCATGCATTTAGGCCAGGTCGGGTCAGGTCAGGTCAGGTCAACCAGTAGGGGTCCTGCCAGGTATTCGTAGTAGGTGTCAACCGCCTTTGACAGCTTCGTAACATGTTACGAAGGCATCAAAACTACTTTGTAAATGTTCAAATAGTTGCCAAATTCGAATTCAACTCCAAAAACTAGCCTAGAAACATGTAAAATTCGAAAAAGTGAACCGAAGCCATTAAATGACCTGACCTGACCTTCAGATAACCTTGACACTCAACGTAATGCATGTGACCAACATCATATCACATGTTTGAACGCTTGAAACCACGAAAAGACTGCAAATGCGCAGCTAATGCGAGCCGACATACGCCGAATCGCGATTCCGGCCTAACATGGCCTCAAGAAATAGGTCACAGGTCAAAGGTCATTTTGGTCAGGGTCATGGAATTTTCAGAGTAGTTGTAAAATTGATTAACTCGATGGTACCGAAACTTTCGTCGCGATTGGCCGTGTTTTACGCGAGTTATTCGCGAAAAAACGAGGGGGGTCCGTTCGACCCCTCTATACGGTTGAGGAATAACCCCTCCTGAGCATGGTTCTGCAGCTGAATGTCTACTTCGGCATCACCTTATTACAAACTTATCTGTAGTGTCGGCTTATGTGAATGTCGCCAATTATATTCCTGCATATAACGTAAAAGGTACATCCTATATCGTAGCAATGCCTTCCAAAAACGTGTGTCCAACTGATTTATCCAGACCAAGAAAACATCCGGGAACGGTTGCACCGCAGTTACATTGTACATAACACCCCATGTCCCTGTCGAGGTGAACATCGCACTAATAACTTACCGATGTGCTGGGACTACTGGGATTACCCGTCCAACGCCATTTCGCTCATTCACAATCGAGCGCTGCCATATGTCAAACGTCTCTGTCAATGTCACTGCCAGGATATGATAGCGGGGACCCATGGCTGTCGGCCGAATATCGTCGATCACACGAGGTGACTGTCGTGGTCAGATGTCTGATCAGAATCCGGACTTCTGTGAAAGCTGCCCAGATGACAACACTATGGACCTGCGATGTGAGTGAGGGTGTGTCAGAGTGTCAGTGTCAGGGTGTCAGAGTGTCAGTGTCAGTGTCAGCGTCACAGACAGCGGCACCTGTCACCGGCGGGGGCGTCTGTCAGTCAGTCTCTCAGGGCGACTGTCAGTCTGTTGCCCGACACCCCTCTGACCGGATCTGTGGCTGTGCTCCGCCGGCCCTCTGTGCAGCGATGGTCTACTCCCGGCTCATGAGGCTGCTGCAGCTGCTGCTGCTTCTGATGGTGACGGTCATCGCTGCTCCTCCGGCGAACCGGGCAGCACAGGCCGCATCACCGACGGATCAGGCCACGGCCGCAGGTAAGTACAGGTAGAAATAAACGATTAATTATCAGGGGAGAGGGCCCAGCCCCTTGAGGGATATTAACCCGCGCGGGGCTGGGGGGTAAATTTTACCCCCCCTCGCGAATTTTTGCAATATCTCAAAAACGGCAGCGCGCAGCGCCGCCAAACTTTCAGTACCTTTTCTTACATCAATTTGACACGTTCCCTGAAAATTTGAGCGAACTCCGTCGGAAAATTTTAGAGAAATTGACGTTTTAGTGACGTCATGTTCGCCATTTTTGCCTCAAAAACGGCAAAAGTTCAAACGCCGCTAACATCTTCATTTTTAAAGGAATCAAGACGTAACAAAAAAGGATATACGTAATTCTACTTTGCCTATCAAATAGCTATCTCCGTTTTTTGAAAATTTTGGATTTTGGCCAATTTTTTTTTCTAAAAAAACTGACTTTTTTGGGAAAATAATTATAAAATCCAAAATTTTGAGTGTATCGAAAAACCGGAATATATGTCAGAGAAGTGGTCTATGTGCACCTACATTACAAGTTTTAGAAGAATCGGTTCAAAAATGTGGGAGTTATTCAAAATTTTATGACGTCACGACACACAAATTTTTTGAAAAGTGACTTTTTTGGAAGTTCTAGACCTCGTACGGAAATAAAAATAGCACCATTCGATTCGCCGTGAAAAAAACTGCATCAGGTAGACACCTTTTTAGGCCTTAACAACCAACTTCAAAATTTGACCTCACTTGACCTGACCTTGACCTGACCTCGACCTGAAATTCATCCAGAGGTGGTCCATATTACTTATTGAGTGTACCTATTGAATTATATGAGTAAAATGACCCATAAGACATGTGTCGCACATGCCCTTTTCTATATTTTGTTTTTGGTGACCTGACCTGACCTGACCTGACCTTGACCTTGACCTCTGAATGATATTGTATGCAACGAATATTGTCTTGGTAGCCTAAGAACAGGTTTTGGGCGATCAGTCTCAGTCCATGACTCCATTCTTCGGCAACTACGGTGCAAGGCCGATACTGTAGGAACTTGTAATTTGTACCCTTGACCTGACCTTGACCTTGACCTCAAACTTAAAATTAAGTACATGTTTTTAGTTGTTCGTGATGAGATCTTTCGATTGGCGTTTGAATTTTCCAAATCGGACCATTAGTTCGGGAGATAACAGGGGGTAAAATTTACACCCCCCAGCCCCGCGCGTTCGGCTGGAGACCCCAGCCCTGCGCGGGTTAAAGGAAAAAGTTCACTTTCCCGAAATAAGTTTTTTTTGCAATGGATTAATGATTTTTTATGCACAAAATGATCAGCAAAGAATATAAAACATTTTTATAAAAGATATTACTTTCTATATCTTAATATAGGAAGAACTATATTCTATACAAAATATTGTTTGACGCGGAAGCTCATTACGCGTTGACCACACATACATCGAAAAGTCTGGAGGGGGCGGGGGGGGGGGCTAAAAAACACCACCAGGGCGCGGGTTAAACCTCGCCCGCACACATGCCATTTTCCCATCCTAGAACGCACATGGGGGGGGGGTTGCCACCTCCCCCCCCTGCGCCATTTCGTTCCTGTTGGAGATAGAGCTTCGCGGTAAAGACCAAAAGGATTCTTTGGGAAAAGACGAATCCAATGATACCCAGTTTTACCTTCTCAGGTCAGCCATTGACCTTCCAGGTCAGGTCAAACTAAAAAATGTTGCTGTTTTGGGTCACCGCTGGATATCAAGTGCGCTGCTTACCATATACCGATGACGATGCCGTTTTCTGGTGCCAAGCCAGCTACAACCTCTTTGTCACACTACCCGACCAGATTTTTGCTGCTGAGGTCATTTCAGGTCAAGTTAGGTCAAGGTCAATTATATGTGTTTGTATGTCTGTGTGTGTCTGTGTGTACATTGATGTGTGCACCGATTGGTTTTGTGTCCATATTACATGAAATCATGATCACTTTTACCAAAAATGCAGTCAAAAAAACTTCACAAAAAGTAAATTCCGCTTGCCTAAAACGCAATTATCTTAGATGACCTAGGTTGACCTTGACCCTGACCTTGACACCTGTACATCGTCGAACAGCATGTTCCATGATAGGTGGGAGGTAAGAGTGGCAAACAGGCCGAAATCAAGGTGTCAAAAGCTCACAAGGCCCATAGCCAGCGCAAGATGTTGAGAATTGGCCATTTGGGTCATGACATGACCTGAAAAACAAGGTCATATCTCCGGAACCAAAAACCACAGAAACTTGAAATTTTTAGTGGACATCAAGAAAAAATAGAGGAGCAACTATCTATACGAAAAATCAGCCTTCTAGCTCTAAAACTGTTGAGTGCAGAGCAGAAAAACTACCTGGGGGGGGGGGGGATGGCACCCCCCTCTATGTGAGGGCGAGGGTTAAACCGATGATATAAAAATCCATGATATGAAGATATTTTCTGTAAAAATTGGGTTATTTTTGATCAAGCTTGGTTCATAAGCTAGATAACCCGTCGTGAAAGCGGCTTAGCCGTTTTCACGACGGGCTATCTGGCGACTGCACCTAATTTGACGAAATCTGCACCATTTTTTAACAACAAATATCTTCGTAACATGAATTTAGTTCAGTGTTTTTAATAAAAAAAAATGCCTGATAATTTGAAAAAATGAGGTATTTAAACATCTGTACAACCCAAACTATAGTTTTTTTTAACCCTCGCCGGCACATGCCATTTTGCGTCCTTCGACGGCACAAGGGGGGGGG